AGTGGACGGATGAGGAGGAAGTAGTTGAGTAGTGGCCCAGCCTCCCTTGACAGCCTGACCTGGTTTGGGCGATGCTGCTGCTCTCGCTGCGCTAAGCCATCGGACACGCGGGTGGATTACTGCCTACTTCAGATTGTCAGGGAGGACCGGGGAAAGGGAGGAAGTGGCTCTGTAGATCTCTGCTGTTTAGAGAGGACGACTCATTAATTATTCATCCAGTTATTCATTCTCCTCTTCGCCCATTCACGCGCACATCACATATGATGATGTCATGAACCTTAAAAACATCCTTCACTGCGTCTATATTGTCAACTGTTCATTAGAGCGAGATGCGTAAAAATGGTGAGACGTGTGGGAATGAGAGATCTGATTCACTGGTTATGAATGAGAGACTATCTAGCATTAAAAAGGCTGTGCACACCTTGACCTAGTCAAGGCCTTTTCTTTATTGTATACATTGTTACCTCTGTGAAAGAGACTATGCAGTCGGTCATTTGTTTTGGTTTTTCTGTTAGTTTTTACTTAATGCTGCTGACTAACCAACAGATAGAGGCGGATGTACACAGATTTTAGCAGAGTTGGATCTTGGACAGACTTAGTGGGGATTGGATTTTTTTGAAGGATCTGGATGGAGATTTTTTGAAGGATTCATCATTGCAAGCGGGGCAAAATTTGACATTTTGAGTCACATTCGTAAGTGTATAATGATTTGAAATGCGAGAGATTCTTGGGCATTATTTAAATGGGATGTGGAGAATCTGATCAGGATCTGGATATCTTTCTGAATTTATGCAAAATTTGGGGACGTACACGCACGTCGCTATTGTAAAATAACTAACTAATAAAGGTAGAGACTTCCCACGGCCACTAAATTTTTGCTGATATGATTTAGATTCCGTGGAATTTTAAAGGATTGTGGTTTGCACTACCTTTAAAAAATGCAGGGATTCTTTTGCAGGGGTGTTGACAATTGGATGGGGGATTATTCAACCTTTGGAGGAGGTTTTCTACCTTGGTTTGCTCTCGTTAGACATTATTGACTGTACTTTGGAATTGGATGAATAAAAACTGCATGAAATGTGTGGGAATGACACTCTCTGGTTTGCATTAAGTTGTAATAAATTATGGAGTATCTTGCATCAAAGAAGCTGTACACACCTTGACCTAAGATGGCCTTTCAAAGACTGCAGATCTGAACAAGATGCACAAAAACGGTATGAGATGCATGGGTTTGGCATTTCGTTGATTGAAGGATGTTTGGACATATCATGCATCAATGAGGTTGTAGACACCTGAACAATAAGGCCTCATCTTCCCTTTTCTCTTGTTTATTGTTGGCTGGTCATCAGCATCCTACACAGTAACACTGTAATAAATGTACAGGATAAGCATTGATTGAATCACCTGGTTGTAAAGCTGAACCTGACAACATTGACATGATCAGTACTGGGGGCACTTTAAACTAACTAAATAATTTCACTCTCTTGGTGGGGTTTTTTTTTTTGTGCAAACAGATACAGATTTTGGAAGTTGACTGAAGATTTTTGCACTTGAGTAGCTGGTTATTCCCTCCCCTGCTTTTATCGTGGCGATAAGATCAGATAAGAACTGCTCTTTCACAGCAGCGCGCGCAGTGGCCTATCACTGCTCCTGACCAGTGTTGGATTGTTTTTCGTAGGGTTTCTTTGTCCGTCTTGGATTTGCATCTCGGTGCCATTTCGTTTGTGGTGTATATGTGTGGTGTGTGCATGTGTTTGCACATGTCATACGGAGAAACTGCAACTGGGATATAGAGTATTTGAAAGGTCGGTTTTTGCAGGTTTTCTGCTCACCGCTTTTAGCAGCCCCGTATCGTGAAATTCGACACCGGATGAGCCAGTTTTACGATGTGTCAGAAATTGAATTTTCATACATGCGGGAGTGTATAATTGTTGTTCGTAAGTGCCGGACCAGTGCCAGATTAATGGCCTTTAGTCACAGTCTTCGCAGTCTTATTTCAGCTTGTAGAGCCTGAATTGCAGCCGCAATCACTGCCGTTAATGCCATTGTTGTGTCTAATGTGCTGTGTGCCTCTTGAAAAAATTGGGGGGAAAAAAGGACGCTCAAAACATCTTCAATTTTGCATCAGTAATGACTGCGTGTGAATTATTTTTACAGCAGAAAGTGACGCTTAAAATGCTTTACAGTGTTGTTCATAAGTATTTGGGCAGTGACGCCATTTAAAATGGGATGTGATTCCTCTATGATGCACATGATTTGGATGTAAATGTCCCGAGTGAGCATTGCATTTATATAGCACTTTCTCAAAAGTACTCCAAGTGCTTTACAGTCGGGGGAATCTCAGCACACTACCACCAATGAGTGGCACCCTCCTTGGTGATGCGCGATGGCCATTTTGCACCAGGACGCTCCACCATACATAAGCTGGGGCAGAGATGAAGTGGACAATTTACATGGCCAATTAAATCAGAGGATGATTAGGTGGCAGGTTGTAGGTGGCTGGTTGGGGATTAAGCTGGGACAACATGGAACCTCCTAATCTTGTAGAAAAGCATCATGGGATCTTTAATGACCACTGTGAGTGAGGACCTCAGTTCAACGTCTAAGATGGTGTATTCTACAGCACAGTGTCCCTATCACTGCAATGGGGTATTGTGGATTACTTTGCCTGTGGAAAAACTATTAGCTTTTGGCCCACCGATAACACATTTAGCAACAACTTTGTTTTCCTAGATGGTCTCCCATCCAAGTACTAACTAAGCCCTCACCTGCTTAGCTTCTGCCAGTTGTTCAGGGCAGATTGAATGGTGGTTTGGCTGCTGGCTGTTGAGTGACTTGATATAGCTTATTTTCTGAGCTTACATTATGATTAGGCTCCCAAACCTATGTTTTCAGGAACTAGAAATGAGACACAGATATGCAAAATAGACAAGAATGATGACATAAGGTTAGCTAGTTGCTGTGCATGAAAGGTTTTGTTGACTGGCTTAACCTGACTCTGGTTTTAAGGCTGTTTATGTACATGGGTATTTTTTTCTCAATACGGGCACTTTTTGGATGTCATTTAAAAAAAAAAAAAAAAGTTGTCTGATTCTTTTTGCCCCAGGGGTAGGGTTGCCCCTAAGGTACTCAAAAAACCACGAGGCAGAGCTTAAACCAGGGCAGAATTTTTTGGGCAGGCCATTTTAATTTTGCCTTGCCCTCGGATCCGCTCAACTCCGTTACTTTTTCAAGTGAGGCTCTCTTCTGGTACATTGTGATATACCCGAGTTCTGAAACTGAGTGAATATCACCCTTTTCAGTGCCCCTGATTGAAACTGATAAACCATTACCATTTTACTCACCTCCATCACCAATATTGGTAACGGAGTTGAGGTTATGGAGTTGAGTGTTTTTCAGAAAAGTGGAATTTTCCATGCACCAGTGCAGTAACTTTTGATGCTTCCTACCATACCGGGGAGGGTTTTGCACAAGTATTATCAACAGCATAATTAAAAATGTGTCCTACCGTTACCATTGATTTTAATGAAGGTAACGGAGTGGAGTTTAAAAAGTGCACTCACCGTAGGATGCCAAAATTTTGAGAATTATTGAAATAATCATAGAGCCATTTTGAAAAAAGCCCACATGGCCGCTACGGGGGTCACACAAAGGTTCTGTTTGCATGGGCCATATACTGTGATTTCAGCTTCTGTCTCCAGGGGTAGTCTGTGTAGTGATGGTTATGGAGTTGAGTAGGTTTTTTGGACACCCCTATTTTCAGTGATTTTTCTTGGAAAACCCACCACCTTTGATTTTTTTTTTTTTTTTTTTTTGCTTAGGATATTTATCTCACAGTGTCTTTTAATGTGTGCATACAGTTTCCAGCCAAAGGAAATTGAAATCATTGGAGTATTGCGAGTTACAAACATATCATCCAGATTTGGGACACTCCCAAAATGCCCCAAAATCCACTTTTTTGACCCCATAAATGATGGATAGAATGAAAATACACCCATGATACTTTATTTCCAATTTGTAAGGACACACACCTATAGTTTAATAGGTAAAGAAGTAACCCTGCGGGATTATTTCAAAAATAAGGGACCCGGACTCTGCATTTCACTAATAGTGCCCATATTGAGAAAAATACCCACATGGCTTTGAAATGGCTAGTTCTGTTCTCGCTGTGTCTCGGCTCAGACTTATTCCTTTTCGCCCACACACTTAATCACTTGACTCCTCTCCGGGCAGCTTTAATTAAACCAATTTCACCTCACCTCCAGCAGATTGTTTGTTACTTATAGAGCAAAAGCCGTACGGACTGCCCCTTAAGGCACAGAACGGGGCTACCCTGGGGGTGCAGGCTTACGATACATAAATAAGCCTTCTTTTTGGCTGCCCTCAGTGATGGCACAGGGAATGCAGACAGCTGCAAAGGACACAAACACAATTTATTTGTGAGCACAGTTTGTTTGGACTGATGTGTGCAGCGGCTGTTTGTGTTTTCCGCTCATCCATTCAGGTGATTTATGTTATGAAGTGCATAATTGAGAAGTTGCATGTATTAATTTTGGAGGCATGTTTGACTGTCCCCTTTCACTGAGAGATTTTGCATTTTGGAGAAATGAGGCAGTGATTTTAGTGTCATTGTTACCGCAGTAGAGGGGCTACCTTTTGCATTCGATACAGCAGAGTTTCACGAATCATGGACTGCGACCCAAAATGGGCAGCCTGTATGTATACGTTCGGGCGTGGATTGGATCTGTTGTCTCCTATGGTATTTCTTCAAAAAGCTTTCATGAAAGGTACTAAATTTTTGAATTTGAGTCCTGAAATGTAAAATATTTAAGAGCAAATGCTGGACAGTATTGGTGCTTTGGACCAGCAATACGGTGAGTCAGTCCCTATTTCATTATTGCTTTGTATGAGAGTTTGGCTTTGGCGCCAAACATCTCATTGCAATTATTTAGCTAAAGCTTGTGTACAAAGTGACTGTCAGCGATTGGATGAGGCCAGTTTGGACTTGAGGGACTGGAACCACCAACCTCCTGACTCCCAGTCAAGCACCTTACCCACTAGGCTTCAGGATGCCCCTGTGACGGTGTGCAGCTGCCCAGAATTATTGCTGTTCTTTTGAGTGATATTTTGGTGCATTTACCTCATTCCCAGGGATTTGCCCTGTGTTTGTGTACAGTTCTCAAGGTCTCTGCTTGCCTGCTGTTTAAGGGTGTCTTGTTTCCTGCCAGATTTGGGCTTTTTAAGTACAGAAATCAATACAATTATACGGCTTACATTTGTGCCTTCTTTATGGAAATTTCTAATTGAATAACTCAAATTCTCATAAGGTTAAAACCTTTCTGTGTCAATACATGTTCTTTCTCATATTTCTCTCTGTGTAAAAACGTCATTCACACGTGACTGTCGTTGATGATTGGTGTGCTGTTCGAAGTACCTTGTAGATGAATGCTACTTCATACATAGGAAGTGCCACTCTCCCGTCCAAACTGTCATTTTCAGAGTCTAAAACTAAGGGATAACTAGTACCAGTTTAAAGCTGTAAGTATCCATGATTTAAAAAAAAAAATAAAAAAAATGATGCCATTATTTAAACGAGCCAAGTTCTGTCTGGGATTTTGGGGGTGAGCCACTGAGACTAATTTCGTTTAAAGGCAGGTAGAATAAAAAAAGCACATAAACCTGCATCATTAAACATCTAATTTGGAGACCTTTTCCCCAGAAGCACATTTATTCACCCTCTACAAACGGCTGCCTGGAGTTGGGTGTGAAATGACTGCTCAGAACGGGAGAGCTCAGCTCACTTTCCCACCGCAACGGGTTAACAAGAGATTGGTGCTTCAGAAAAAAATATATATCGAATGGGTTTATTTTTTTATTAGGGATGGAACTGCCAAACTCGCTGGAGACCATTTGCACCAAGCAAAAATAAGAAAAATATAAAATTCCGCTCTCCCTGTGCTAGCGTCTCCCTCTTTCTCTCGCTCTCCCTCTCTCTCCCTGCCTCGCTATCTCTCTCTCTACCTCCTCCTCTCTTCTGTGCGCTCCATGCATAAATGATTTCCATTTCTGCATTAATGAGGTTCTGCTGAATTGAGAAGCACGGACCCACACAGACTGACAAACACACACACACATGGATGCACATAGGCTGAGAAACGTACACACACAGGCTGATAAGCACGTACACACTGACTCACTCTTGACACGAGCATGTGCACACACACGCACACTCTCAGAAACACTGGTTGACGAGCATACACTCCAACTCACTCTGTCGGACTGGCACAGTCATTCAAACTCATGCGAACACAGATGCAGACCAACAAACTCTTGCACACTGACACACTCTTTTTTTAAGTATAGATTTGGCATCTTCAGTCGCACCTGAATCTGGAATGTCCAGTCTGCTAACTTTACAAGCATGCTCGTGCACGACTCATGCTGCTATCAGAGGTTGCGCTCGTCTGTCTCGTGGTACATCATTTTGACGGACAGCGTTGTAAAAATTTTGTCGTGATCTATATCCCAGACATTTTAAGTTTCACTTTGAATTTTCACGACAGCTTATTTAATAGCATTCAAATTTCTAAAACAACTCGATCGCAGTAACATTGTGCAACTCTACAAACATCAGGATTATGTTTTTACTAGGGCATGGAGAGAAAAGATGAAGGGATACACAGGCGCAGCGGGCACTTTCATGTTTACACTGCAGCCATTGAGTAAACAAGAAAATACGAACTATGAAATTTTTACTGAATTTGACAGTTACAATTAAAATATGAACAAACCTTGCTAACTCTGAACATGGGTAGAGGAAACATGTTAATGTGCTTGCTTAGAATGGAACTGACAAGTGGCCAGATTGCCTGTAGGAGGCGCTTGAGCAAGAAACTATGCTTACCCATACTGACTGTGTCCCTCCCACATCCCTGAGCAGTGCAAAGCCAATTATGCACTGCTCTGACAAGGCTGTCCACAGTCAGCACTGGCACAGCTGGATTTCATCAGATGCTGTGGTGGTGACTGTTGTATCGAAAGCAGCACCTTTATCGCATGAGCCAACCCGGCAGCAGCTTTATTCCGACAGACTGAAACAAACAAGCTAGCAAACGCACACAATCACATTTGTGTCGTCACTCTGTGAGGTCATTGTATGGACTGACTTTTATTCTATAGACCCTCTCCCGAATGGTAGCCATCTCAAAATGATGCCTAACCTTAACCTTACCCCAACTGTAATCCTTACTTTAACTGGTTAGCTGTAATTATTCGTAGTCCTCTGTGAAGAGATAGGAAAGTGTCCTCACAGCATGGTGGTTTCTCGAGTAGGTTCTCACAAGAAAAGCAATGCAAGCCCCCCACCACACACACACACACACACACACACTCTCACGCACATGCAATAGGTAACAAAAACGTGAACACGCGCGCAAGCAGGACAACAAACTTGCGTACTTGCTACTGACTCACTCTCCCGGTCTGAGATGCACGTGTACAGATGCGCCAGACTGACTAATGCAAACACACTCTGACTCACTCTTTTAGACTGAGCCACAAACACATACTGCAATTCCGCCACCTCCATAAAAATGTTATTTCTATGAAATTCATGTTTTCTTTTTGCACACTCGCACCTATCTGTACTGAGGTACCCTGTGCCAGTGCTACCCACCGTAACAATTAATCGCACACTGAGACAGAAACCTGAGTGTGCTCTTACACGCCAGCCGATACATCCCAGCCAGTTAATAGAGCGGGGTACTGCTGTGAATCGTGATTAGGGGCTGAAAATGTTTACATGGACATGGTGGTTCATTTTATATTCCTGTACCTCTGAATGGGGGGGCATCATATGCTCATACCCATGCTCGCAAGGGGTCTCTCTCTTTCGGTCTCTCTTGGACACTCACATATACACGTTCACACACGCACTCGGGCACACCAGTCTTACACGAAGGTGCTCATGCGAACACGCTCGCCCTCAGGCTGTCTTGGTCTCATGCGAATGGCACCGCGCACAGACATGCATACATTCATGTTCACGGGTGTGTGCACACAGCCTCGGACACACTTTTACTCAAACACACACACACAGCGCGGCGCAAAATCTGCCTCTCGGGTCAGCCCCCTGGAGTTTGGCAGGCTTGGTCACTATGGTAACGTTGTGCTGGGTATGTAAATTGGTGCTGGGGTTGGGGACCTTTGGGACTGGCAGGCATTGTGGACCCCCATTTCCAACCCCCCAATTCACCCTCACCCCCAACCTCCAACCCCCCTGCTCCCAGTGTACTGACTCTTCATTTCCCCCCATCTTCCTTATGTCTGCAGTCCTGGTGTGAAAACTTCTCATTTGTGTAATTGCTCTCAACTTAACGTTAGCTTTACAATATTTGCATCCATGTAGCTTTGACCATGTCAAACATTTTGACAATTTTAACTTATTTTGTCGTCTAAGTACGGAGGAAACTCCCCTGCAAATACCTGAGCGAAACACTGCTGTAGTTGCCTGCTATACACTTCTATGGTAACCATCAGTATCTGGTGTTGAGGACTGGAATGGGTTTCTGTGGAGTGATGGGTGGAGTGTGGTGGACTTGCTGCTGGGTGCTACTGAAATGCTGTTTCGGAGTCTGCTTTCAGGCCTTAATAGTGGAGACCAACTCTAAGGCACATTAAAGGGGTCACACCCATTGCCAGGCTTAGTATTTTCAATTCTCTGGCCTATTTTCAGAAGTGTTCGTGTTTCTTATGATCGTAAAGCACCTGATTACTGCTGTACAGGCTGTGTGTGCAGCACCTCAGGTTTCACTTGGCCTGAATGGGGCGGTTTTGGCTCCTGTCTCTTTAAAGCCCCCTCCCTTAAAGCCCACTCTGTTTTGATTGGCTAACCGCAGTTCAGGAAGTTAGGGTAGTACTGCTGTGGAATAGTAGTAAAAATGATTTTCGTCCTCTGTGTCTTCACTTTATCTTCCTTTCTAAGTTTACGCGGGGAATTTGACTTGGCACTGAAGAAAACACATCCACTCAACATGGCGATGTACGCTAACAAAACGCTTGCTGGCCTCTGCTCCTCTGAACTTTGTGGTAGGGCATACCAAACTAGCCGCTAGATAGGTGTTATGCAGTGGTGATACATTTTGAATTGGATATGTTATGGAAGAAAAGGCTGGACTAAAAACAAGGCTTTTTAGGCGGTTCAGGAGATGCCTTTTGTGTCAGAAAGAATAACGCCCTTTGGCTTGGACTTTGGATTTTGTAACTTCACAGATGTTTTGCATGCACTAAAAAATTATATAACGCTGTGAAAAAAGGGGGGAAAAAGAACAATATGACCCCTTTAAAATGCAGATCAGTATTTATGTGGCGAAGCTTGGTTTTTAATCTGTTGCAGAGCTGCCCAATCACTTTCTTGGGGATTTGATGTCCTGTAAGTCTTCATGTCACCCTGAGCATGACACGCCTCATTCAATGCTTGGGAATTTCCCTCAGTTTCTAATTGATGGAATCGGACATATCAGTGCAGATATGAAATCCAATTGCTTGATAGTTTTCTTGAAGCTGAGCTCCATGGCCCTGATCTTGTTTGATGGGTCTCTGGTCTTTACTGTATGGCGAGACAATGATGCCCAGCATAGTCAGTTTGTATAAGAAAAAGAAAGCTTTGTGGGTGTTTGTGTACCTGTGCCCACTTTGGTCTGACTGTGATTGGATGTGACACAGTCCACCCCTCCTCCGTCCTTCATTCCTCCAATCATATTCCATCCATTTCTCATTCTGTTCGTTTCTCTTTCAATTTATCTGGTAGTGAATCAAATGAGCAGAATCAGACAATGCCATTTGCTTTCTAGTCCATTTTTTATTTCTGTATTTTTTGTTTTACCCCCTTATTTGTATTTATTATTTTTTTTGTATTCCATTTTATTTTGTTCCTGGGAGAAACCAGTTGCCGGTCGATAATCCGTTAAGTAGCATTGATCGAAACCATTTAGGTTCTCCTAGCCTGGCTGCTTAGGTTGTAAAGCGGATCAATGATATTGAATGGGCACCACCAAGATAGGGGGCATCGACTGCT